ATGGCATGTATGGCATAGCGGATTCATTCGAGACGTGTGTATAGAGGGCGGTGGCGTCGAAGGACTCCATCAGGTACGCGCTTCTGGGCTGCACAGTACGTAGACGATCCAGGAACGTCTGGGTGTTCGTTAGATGGGCTGGAATGTAGTTTAATAACTAGGTGAGTATTAGGGTTATAAACCACGCTACTCTATGTACTGGCCAGCCTACAAAGCTGTTGATAGGTCTAACCTTAAATAATGATGGATCGGTAGGCACAAGATCATCGCTGGATATGGGTTTTGATAAGTAGATATACCACGGAACTTAATAGTAACAGTAAATGTTCAACAGTAAATGGCTCTACTTTCTCAATTAAATTCAGCAGGCTTTGCGTCAATAAAACCCTAGCAAGGTTGTGAACAACTCGAATGATGATTTTAAGTGAGTTTGTACAAAGATGCTCAAAGAGCCGAGCAGAATGGTGTCTTACTAAACATGATTCTGCTCAACAGTAAATGGTTCTGCTTTCCCAACTAAATTCAACAGGATTTGCGCCAATAGAACACCGGCAAGGTGGTGGAAGAAAAAAATAGAATAGGTGCCGTGTCTAATTTGTCGAAGTTTCCGTTCACTTCCTCCTAACCCTGTTTCCGCTAGAAACGATTTTTTTCTTACTACGGTTACAACATGTGATACCAACTAGACCTGTGGTTTTTTTTCTAATCATCTTTTTTCTGGAGTCGATGGCAATTTAATATCGAACAAGTATATAATTCTATGTAACTATTCGAAAGCTTTCCATAATGTGAGAGAGAGGCGAGAATGCCTGTGTGACCATCATGATAAAACGTAAATGAGAATATTTTGAATATGGGTATACACTAGATGAGGTGAGGTTAAGGGCAAGTCGGTTTTCAAGTACTGATTTGCAGTGTGCTAGCTAACATAATACCGACTACTGTAGATTGAATAGTCCGTTGAAAAACGCATTATTATCAACGTACTACCAGCATAATCAACAACCATCCTATGTAAGGGACCGCTGCCGTGTAAGCTGTCTCAGTCGAGCGGTGCTTCAGTGAACGAGATCCGATTCGGTACGACGACGAAGACAGCACATCGAAAAGGCAAACGACTGTGGACCACAGACTGGGATAATTAGCTCTGATGAATGCGAAGACTTCGAAATGTTGGCCGAATAAGCCTTTTCACCAACCTTTTGTTAGATTATCGATGAAGGAACACCTATTTAAAAGAGTGCGATTAAAACGATAATTTGTATCTCTATTTCCCATTCGTGGCATTATTATATAATGTTATTAGTCGTCTTCTTGTTCAGCAATTGCGAGGTTCTTATACAGCATACATTTACTTCCATAAAAAACACAATACAACGCTAGCTGACGTTTCGGCAGTATCTCCTTCTTCAGAGCCTGGAAGGGTATACTGATATACAATCTACTAGGCCAAACGCTTCAATAACACTTACAAAAAGACGAAAAACTTTATGGTAATCACATGTTCAACAGCTTCTCGAAAAACTCACGGCTTTTTACGTGATTTCCAATGAGGAAGTTTAGAACAGCTGATTATAGTCGCTTTCATATTCCAATGCCGAGGTTAATAGAAAGTCGATCCTGGGAAATGCTTTTTAGTTTTACGAACTGTTGGCAATAAAGTAGAAGTCTTGTTTCTTTTCATTATTCCCCATTATTTACGGCAACAGATACTTCATTCCACTGGTATGGTCATCAAATTCTCAAGAGACAAGATCATGGCAATTTTGTTCAAAAGACTTGTTACAGCAATGTCTAAAATCATATCCATTCTACAAAAAGCGTAGTGCCAAAATTGTAAACCTACATCCGATTCACGAAAGCGGACGAGTGCGTGGGGCAACCTATCAGAGTACTGGAGAGCCGCTAAGATGTGTACCACACTTGGTTTGTGCGCTGTATGCTGCAACTTCTTCGAACCCTAAACGTTCGTAATTAATTCTTTATATGCGAAAATGTAAAAAAAGCAATAGTGAACTGGCAATGCTACTATGTGGATGCATAAAAACCGTAGAAATATTGTGATAAATCGGTTAACGTGATCATACAAAAAATAACAAGATGAACGCGAAGAATAATAGGGTATCTTATGCAACCCAAGGCTTAAGTGATACAAGGAAAATCAATTATATCACACATCATTTTCTCAGCGGAATAGCGAGATGGCAGCGTGACGATACCTCAGTATGAATGGGACGAAAAATTAATTTTATTATTGTGACTGTTTTTGCAATTATTATTGCAACTAATTCCTGCTAACGGTTTACCTCATTGTGGCTGGGAGGTGTTCCTATGTGTCAGAAGATGAAGTGAGAGAAGATTCATCAACCTGGCAGGATCTCCCAAGCTGAGAAGGAATCCGACGTTTCTACCAGGAAGCATAGCTAAGAATAAACCAGTACCCGGATCCACTACCGTCCTGGTAACAAACTAGTCCCATGGTGGCAAATTTCCCTCCGACCCACAAGGGTTGCGACTTCCTGTGGCGGTGGCGACATAGGGCAGACTGACCTCGGGATCCCAGAGAACTACAATGGCTTAACCAGCAAATATCCGAGAACGGAGATTATGCTGGAGCCAATCACAACCAATAAGGACGGGTCATTCAAGTCTCAAGTATTGCTATTAATTACTATTACATGACCCGTCATCACATCTCGTGCGCGAATCCCAGCACACCTTGGATTCGTTCTCTTCGCATTCATCGCGCACAAGGGTCTTCGAACATTTCGCGTGTTCTCGACTGCTGGTGGAAAATTTCGTTTTCTTTATAAACAGTAGAATGCTGGTCGTGTCAACTCTGCCTGCAGCTTTGGAGATAGCCGAGCAAATGCGTTCGCACATGGACTGCAGAACAGCATTGGTGCGGTGATCGAACCAGCACTTGGCTTCTTGAGACACTGCGTTACCAACCAGTGTGATACTTGCACTTCACCTGTATTAGTGAATAAAACCATAAACATGAAATCTAAAATTGAAAATCTTTTTGCAATTTGTACTTGGAAGATCCGAGGTACTAAGGACAAGTGGGCTACAGCTGTTTTAGGTCGTCACGGAAACCGAGAGACTACTTCATAATTCACTGAGTATTTGGAAGCACTCATCACTTTGATTTTTTTCCAAATTTCGCATCGTTCTTGTGTATATAAAATTTAGTAAATCTCCAATCATTGGGAAGAGGATACCGATTACTATAGATTTATACGTGCCCTAAATGAGCCGCAAACACACCCATCAAGGCGATATTAGCTGTTTCTACTTATATTACATTATTTTTATTGCAACATTAACTAATCGCATCAAACTCACAATTTTTAAAAGCACAAACGCATCTTTAAAAAACGCTGTAATATTTCCAACTTATCCTATCTTTTTCATTTTTCAATAGTGGTCACGTTATTTAGGTTATACTAGTAGTCTTTAGGAATAGGATTAAGAAAAATTTTAAGAATAAAGGAGTTGAAAAAGAGAATAATTGTGTTTAAATTTTAAATATCTACCTTAACAATTGAATTTTTTCCACATTCCCTAAAAGTTTTTATTTTTCCTTGTTGAACGAATCATAGCAAGTGTAGATTAGGACAGATTGACGAGCCATATAAATTAGGAAAAACCACAAAGCTCTTATAATCTCAACCTCTAAAAGACCTGTTGATCAGCATTTTAATTCGAAATTCAAAAGCAGTTGAAGAATACAAGTGTACTAGTTGAGATTTGATGATTCAATTCGCCATACTTATGAATAACTGAGTGTTCCTTAGCACCTTTTCCATAGAACCGATGTGTTACAAGTTCTGTAGGATTTACTCATGAGTTCCTAACTATCCCATGCTTAACATGTCACTTGGTCCTCTAAGTCGGTGGACGCCATGGATGAGAGGATGTTCTAGATTTTACGACTAGGTGCCTACGATATCGGAGAAGCGGTCATTTCTGGCGTAGACTTACTCTTAACAGAGCTTTCAATTAGGAATACTTATCTCTTACTCGGTATCATGTAGATCTAATCAGCAACGCTTCGTTCCACTATGCTTTTGTTCCAAAACTGAATTTTAGCAGAGAAAATTTTCACCGTTATCAACCATGTGGAAGTGCAGAACGAACCACTGTGATGTTAAATTTGAAGCATCAAGATTGTGAAGCAATACGTGTGCGCTGTTAGTACATAAAGTAAACTCCACCTGAACAACAAGTTTTCAAATATTTAATCTTCTCAGAAGAATTCTGAACTCATAAACATTTACCCTAAATATTACATAGAAATCTCACATAAAATCATTCAAATATGCAGCGTAATGAGGTGTAAAGTAATAGGATAGGCAACAAGAAGAGAACAGTTCGTATTGAGATCGTTCTTACCTCCTCCATTTCCGAAGAAATATATTAGTAGTAAATAAAAGTATTAGATAGTGATAATTCGAGATTTACAACCAGCTTGGTGGAAGATGTCATACTAGTTTTCGTTTCCGAAGAAGCCTCAGGTATTAGTGGACTGCATTCAACTACTTGGGTCATACAAAGAACGTCGAAGGCCGAGGATAAAAAACAATTATGCAATCAGATAGATTTCTCGAACTATGGAGCAAATGAGTGTGGCATAACGCTTGACGGCATATCTGATCTCACCATTAATGAGATTATCTACGGAAACCTTGTTGAAGAAAGATCCAAAAAAATTTAAGCAATTCGATTCGCACGCAGTACCCTGTATTCTATCATTTTTCAAGTAATATGCACAGTAAACAAAAACTAGCAGTAATAGAAAATGAAAGATGCAGAATGGAATGACATAAGCGAAATGAATATTGCCGTCCTCACTTCACCCCATTTATGAATTTGTTACAAACTAACTTTTCAAAAGCACTAGCAATTAATAATTGGTTGATATTATCTACGGAACTGATCAGCCATTTAAAATAAAGTGGATTGGGCAATCTTCGAACGATCTCGTTTCTCCTCTATCAATCGATGGAGGTGCTTTGTGTTTGATCCCACATTTGAGTTACTGAGATAAGTTGGGTGAACACAAGTGACAAAGGCGTTTTAAACGCCGTCTTCGCTTTCTGTTCACGTTGACACGTAAGAATCTGCTTGAAAGCGCGTCGAAAATCACGTGAGAATCGTGAATAAATGAATGGATTCAGCATCGAATTCAGATGACCAGCCCAAGTCACTATCGTGAAGATCGTCTCCTTGTCCACAAAGCACTAAATGATATGTGATTTGACAAAGTAGCAAAGTAAAAGAATCACATGCTGGCAGTTTTTAAAGCTTAGAAAATTAACACAACGCTCTGCTGGAGTTAAATGGTGTGAAAAAGGATCAGAATCTCTTTCATTTTACACAAATTTTTTTTATGTACAACAAACTAAAGAACTACTTCTCTTTGATTTTGTTGTAAAATTACATCCAACAAGAAGAAGGCTAGCAGTAATGGACCCCAACATACGTGTTCTACTATGCGCGTTTCAGAGAAGAATATTCCGTGTCAACCAAAGTCTCCTTTTCAATCTTTGGGAATAAGCAAGCAAGAAATAAAAGTGGCGGTAACATACGGTGTTGCAAAAGACTGCTAGTGGTGAAAAGACGAAGAACGGCGTCCAACAAAGAATGAAAGCTCCGACAACGATAGAGAGTGTCCGTGCAGCTCGTTGTTCATGAACGTATTTCACCATCCGCCGTGATTTCTCTCTAACGTTCAGCCTTCGTCTGGTTACCAGTGGTGAACTGGATGTCGACACATCACTCGGCTCCTCTCGCTGGATCTGTAAGCACTAGCTTTTTTGAAAATCTTTTTAAAGTTTTCTCAAAGATTTCAGTGCAGGTCGAAATTTCTCGTTCATTTGCAAGGTTGCACATAAAGGTGTCCTAGTGGTTAGCGGTCCCCTGCAATACACACGCCGCTGTTAGTGCAATCTCGCGTCCAGGGCTCACCAAACTTTTCATCCCTCCGAAATCGGAAAATTGGCAACGGACTTGTCTGGAAGGATAGTACTCCGTTGATATATCGGTGAGCCACCGCGAGTCAATGTAAAGGTCAAATATGAATTCAGTCTCCTCTAAAGATGCTTGATGAGGTCGAATGCACGGCGAATTTCTCAGGGATTGATCAAAGCTAATAGCTTTATCTCTTTTTTGCACATAAATTCGTACTATACAATTGTTTTCATTAAAACTATTTTGTTCTTTTCGAATGCCGGTTTTTAAACAGAGTGGTTTAAATGGCTGAAATATTAGCTATTTTGATTTGGTACCCTGCAAGAAAACAGGGTGAGCAGCTATTTGAGTTTATGGCAATGGCTGGAACCATTAATGGTAGCCAATAATTCCAGAAGCTCCACCCTCAATCGCTGCTAGCTCGAGATTTTACAGGTGATCGAACCAGCCTCTCCATAGCGAAGAACTCCATTTTTAGCAGAACAGAGATAAAGCGGCAAATTTGATCCAAATTTAATTAATGCACCACTAACGCCTAACGAAAAAAATATCTCTGATTGATTAATGTACGCTGTTATGGGTCGGAATTTTAATATGATGAATGACAAAATTCCAGAGTTGAGCAAGAAGCAAGCATCGTGGAGAGCTTCCAAGACCACTGACGGTTCAGCGAAGAGAAATGGGAACACGCGACTCCATTTCCACTTTTTGAACAACACGATTCTTTCGCCTCACTGAATGCGTAAGAATCTTGGTCGTCACGCAAGCTGGTCGAAAGGTCACTCATCGTTATAGATCACGCAGCCAAAACGAAAAATCGGATGAGCCGACGCTAAATGCGGCTAGAACACAGCTGCTGGACAGGAGTCGTTATCACTTCGATCCCTCAAGATGTTAAATGGACAGCACGAAGACCAACCACCTGATGGTAAGAGTTCTTCACGAAGACCCAAGAAAGAAGATATGATGGACAACGAGTCTCTAGAGCTATCAAAACCTGCTTGGTACTCTTGCAGACGACATGTAGTAATGAAAGGTTTTCTGGCGCCCGCTAAAGCCATTGTATGATCTGCGGGAGGACAGGTGATTCATGTCATGCCGTATTAGAAAGCAATGCAGAAGCTTCTACAGTTTCTCATTGTTTAGGATTTCAATAACAATTTCCAATAAAATAAAACCATCAGACTTTAAAGCTATATAAGCTATATCACTCATAAGTGAGAGATAATTTGAGGTTTCCTTCAGCAAAGATGTCCTTCAAGCCTACTTAGCCCCAAGAGAGAATTCGACAGCATACGAGTCGGTATGCCTCACATACTTAGATAAAAGTAAATGATGCGTTCTCGCAATAATAGAACGGCCTTTTATATAGTAGTGTTATCAAGAAAGAATACGAAAGAGCAGATTTAATCTCAAGGACGTATCACACTGCCAAAACTTGGAAAAACTATAGTGACGAAATGTACAAAAAGTGAGGTATGCTAGCGTTAAAGGCTTTCTCTGAGATTCAGCTGATAAAGGCTAAAAATTATCAAGCGTGACGAAATAGAACTAGTCGTAAAAGTGAACACACTTCCTCTCTAGAAACCTTTTTACGACGTTGGAAAGGCTTCCTCGTCGCCTCACATGCTTCTCAAAGCAATCTCGGCTGTTATCTTCGATCCTTTTGAATATCCAATGACTTGGGTATGAGAATGATGATAATTGCTGGCTTGAACAATTCTCGTAGTCATTCTTATGATTTTGACAACCCGATTACCAAATGAAGACCGATAAATGAGTTTTAAAGCACCCCTTGTTGATATTGGACGTGAGATTTATCCAAATGAGAGTACTAAAACGAAATTGACTGCATCATTATTTGGCGAAGATTTTGATTAAGCGACGTTAGTGTTGCCGCAAAGTACGCATGTAGCACTGTGGTCGGAGGCTTCCTGCAATACACATGAGATCGGTACCAGCGCTCCGTGCTTACCAAGCCTTTCATCCCCGCGGAGTCGGCAAGGTGCTGCCGGTTTTATCTAGAAGGATAGCAGCACTGTTTCGATACATCGGTAGGCCACCACGAGTCATTATAAAAACCAAATATGCATTCAATCACCGCCAACGACGCTTAATGAAATCGAATGTATGGAGCATCCTTGAGGGATTAATCAACGCCGAGAGCTTTATCCTTTATTCTCTTATGTTAGCGGCTCAAGATTGATTCCGAAATAGGAGAATCTATCATACTGGAAAGTTATCAACTTGAAACTAATCCAAGCAAGCTGGATAGCCACTACTACCATATGCGGCCATGCTCGTTTCGAGATTCCTCACTCAAGTAATTCGCAAAAGTATTTGGAGAAGATTGAATGAACGGCAGATATTACAGCAAGCATGGTATAGGAAAACGATCCAGTGTATTGAATAATTTTTATAATAATAATAATTAGAATTTCCATGCTGTCACTGAACTCGTTGACTTGACGCGGAGTAATATATGCCACACTTCGCACGTTCACCAACAAGAAGATGGTTTCAAATTCTGTCGAGATTAGAGCGATTGCAAGACTCTTAAACATTTGCACAATCTTTGGTAAATAGACTCAGAAGCTTAATAAGGCATTCTTAAATTCCACAACAAGATTCTGTGTATCCCTACAGCTATATCATCATCGATATAAACAAATAGTTAGGAAAACAAGAAACAGTTCTATCAAAATTACTCGGCATTCAGAAAATGTGACAAACAGCAAGAAATGGAAGACTTAGCAAGAGAGTTCCTTGCTGGCAAATGAACGACGTGATAACAGTAGATAATAAAAAAAGCTCTCGGCGTTGTCCAATCCTTGAGGGATGCGCCATGTATTTGACTTCATTATGCATCGTTTGGAGGTGATCGAATGCATATTTGGCCTTTACAATGAATCGCGGTGGCCTACTGATGTATTGAGCCCGTGCTGCTATCCTCCCAGACAAGTGTGGTACCAATTTGCGACCCCGGAAGGATGGAAGGCTGGTAGGCCTTGGGCGCAGAAATCGATTTCACGTGTGTGTTGCAGGGCGCCTCCGACCTCCGACTACGCCACACGCGTCCACAGTAAATAATAACCAGAGCTAATGATTGTCAAATTTCATGTTTAGAACTCATCCTTACGACGATCCTAGTAAAGTGATGCTTATGAAAAATGCCTTTTCTTCCTGACCTTCCATTTGCTCTCAACTGTACAAATACAACACTATGTTTTGTAGTTGAATCACATATCTTAAATGGATAGTTGATGCAAGAACACATTGTTTGAATTGTGCAAGGAGGAAGAGGGCACTGTGGAGAACATATAAGCATGTCGATGGGCAACCGAAGGAAGCGAAAACCTCTTTAACCTGTTTGAGGTTGAAACTAAATACAATTAACGAAGGACAAAAAGGAGGCATTCGACATACTTTTGAATGTGCAGTTTTACTGCATCAACATGCGTCTCAAAAGCTCGAAAGCGACGTAAAATGCGTCAAATTGAGGGTTATCATTTTCGAAGGCGCTGTGAAGAGAATGATGATAGAATGCAAGTGAAAGGAAAAATCCGGAGTTTCATCTAATTCCGACGATTGAAGATCAAGTCGAACGGCCACTCGTGGAAGGGTTGAATTTAGAATAAAGCTATTGGAACAAGTGAGCTTAGCCACTCGTCTCCAAGACATTGAAGAACAGAATAGGAGGAATTTCAGCACCATGGCCCATTTTGCTAGGCGAGCGGAGCTAGAAGCTTTAAGGGAGCTTGTTTGAACATGATATGGGAGAGAATATGGAACAAATTGGATTCAAAGACCGACTTTCTATAAACCTCGACGTAAATAACTGATATATTTATTTATACGTTCTTATGAACTGATCCTGTTGAGCTGATGCGAAATTCGTATAGTTGGCTTTGTTATTGTTGTTGTTTTTGGTCGATGGCTGAAATTTCGGTGATTTCGCTTACCTCAGTGCTGTGCTGTTATGAGCATGACTCAACAACAACAACGACAACTATACCCTCCTCACATCAGCTCAACAAGATCGTTTCATAGAAGTGCAAATTAGATTGTGGTAAAATGTTCAAAACCTTGTAAACTACTTGATTTTGCAAAGAGACCACCTACCGTATTGTAGAATTAGACCAACGTTGTTAAACAACACAGGAGATTATGATAAGTCAAACTACATTTATCCTAATATTTATGCATATTTTCCATTTACGCTTGTGTATCATTTTCCTGGCCTAACATGAAGCTACACCGAACGAGGTGGCATCTTCGAATGACACAAAAGACCAGTTCAGTGGAGAATGTTTACCGTTCTAGTAGCACTCAATGCACTTGGGCGGATTGTAGGAACTTCGGCCGCTCGAACCCGAAACACGTAATTCGTTTTCTTCTTGCCGCTGCTGGACTTGTGCCGAAGCAGTGCTACACGCCCACTAACGTGTGGTCGATCATCGCGCTCGTTCAAGCTTTTGGATGACATCTGAAAAAAGTTTTATCCATTATTTGAGCACCCTTTGCTTTCGAGAAGTGTTTACTTCACAAAACTAATCGAGATGCGTCCTCCTATTAGGCAAGTAGTTAATATCCAAATTTCAAAAGGCTCGTATATCTGTAACCTTTAAAGGATTAGTCTCCGAAGAAACTGATAGAAATTACCTTTAGTTCGTCACCATTAACATCACTAATAAAGGAGTGTATTGCGCAATTGCTAAGAGCTCCCTGCAATACACATCAGGTCTTTGGTTGATCATGCGCCCCATGCCCATCAAGCCTTCCATTCAGAAAGATCTAGGGTCGGCGAATTGGTACCATATCTGTCTGCGAAGATAGCGGCAATGATTTAATACATCAATAGGCTAATAGGCTGCTGAAAGTCATTCATTAAGCCTGATGTGCATTTAGTCACCTATGACCATGTTTGACGAAGTCAAATGCTCTGCGCGTCTCGCACGAACTGGTCAACACCGAAAGCTTCATCCTTTGAGCTTTTTAACATCATAGATCGCTCGATTGTAATGATAATCGTTATTTGAGGAATTTGGAGCTTTCTTGCCTTTTTGTAGATAGAAGGTACATTTGGAACTGAATGGGATGCTACTATTGTTTAAAAAAATGTACTGTCCTTCGTTCACTACACCCTCAGTGGCACGTAAAAGATGTGCATTGATAGTTTCCTATCATTCGTTCAGTCTCATTGAAAAGCCTAAAATAATTAGTGTTCTAAGATATCACTTTTTTGAGGTGTATAACTCTGCTAGGCTAGAGCTTTACCGCAGCACCTCTTAGTACAGTTGGCTAAAGGCCTCGAATTCACTAGCAGTGATTGTTGATTCAAGTATGTTTCATTTTCGCCATCACCACGACCAGAGGGATTTAGATGGGTATTGAAAATACGAGGAATACGCAGAGGATTAAGAGTAGCACAATTGGATTCCTATTTCGAAGTAGTTCATTAAACTACCTTTTTGAGCAAAAACCGTGTCGCGTCACTACAATCTGCTTGTTGAAAGCTCCGGCTCATTTTTCGCCCTCGACCAATGTGAATTCGTAATGTCGGCTCATTCTCGTCGGACGGAATGCTTTCGGCACTTGTATGCTTTTTACGACCATTTTTGTATCTCACCTGAAACTAGTAGCGTTCTCCGTCATTTCAGAGCTGTTTGCAATGGGAATGATTCTAAAAACGTGGTCGTGGCGGAATGCAACCATTTCTCTTGATATACAACACAAGAAACATGTTGTATATGTACATGTAAATGTATATGTACATGTGTACGCATATGTGTATGCATATGTATATATGTATAAGTGTATGTATATGTATACGTATATACATATGCACATATGCACATATGTATATGTATATGCACATGCATTTGTGTATGTATATGTATACGCATATGTATATGTATGTATATGTATATGTATATGCATGTGCATACGTTTATATGCATATATGTATATGTATAAGTATATATATAATTTATATGTAGATCGGTTTTCATGTACGATGAGCTCATCTTCATTAACAAGTAAAAGTTACGCAGCTATTTGGTTATTCATCTCACGTTATATGCCTTTTACGCCAAGCTATTAAATTTTAATGAAATACAAGCTGATGGAAATATTAGTCTTTCGCATTTTTCAAAACGGTGCGCATTCTTTTGATGCGTCGTGCACGCAGTGGAAGAGAATTTATCACTTCAGGTTAAAGTGGCTAACTAAAATTCTTTTTGCTGCAAGTTTTCCAACAAATTCTACGAAAATTCTTAGCGATAGACTCCACTGCTCGATTCACTTTCTTTCTTCATGGTGAGTTCGATGACGAATACACTTCAAGATCTCGACGCCACGATGGTATGGTTTAATACGATGGCCTTGTAGTCAACCGAGAGAAATTTAGTGAACAAATCAACTGTAGTCGTTTCAAACTTTCACTCCACGTTTAAAAATATTACACCCGTGTTATACTACCTTTTTGATTCCCGTTCGCATACCACGAGAATGTCGTGTGGCGATAATAAACACTTTACCATAGGCGAAGAGGATTAGACACAGAGGAATATAGAATGAAACCAACGACGAAAAGCTGACGTACATAGCGCTGTCTGTGAAGAGGCACTTCTCCTGCAAATAATCATTATTAAGTAAGATGAGCAACAACAAGTTCATGAACACACAAGGTTTCGAACTATTATCTCAGTATAGCGGATTCTTGTCCAGTCACGTGGTGGTTCCTGAGGGGACTCTAGTTATCAGCCCCACCACTCCCCCAACTCCATTAGTTAAACTGTAGAAGTTAAACGGAGACAAGACAAGTAATTTAAGCTATCTTACAGAGTTCAGCGAAAATTTCCATGTAGCGTTCAGTATTTTATAACGTTGAAAGAAAACATAGAGAACGTAAAGAAAAAAAACGTACATTTTCCAGAGTTCCAAAAAAAAACTTTAAAAAAACTTCTAAAAAACTTTAAAACTTTAAATACGACCTTGATTTCGTATAAGTGAGGTGAAGTCGTTCGCCACCAAATAATGGCAGGAAAAGACAAGCAGGCAGAAACCATCCATACGCAACAAATCGCAATCAAAATGCGTCGCTTCGAGACTTTGTCACGATAGCCAATAGGATCTTGTCCCGCCATATATCTGAGATAAAAAGGAAGTGAACAAAGAAAAAAGTAGCTCGATTTCTACACAACATTAGAAAACCGTTACAAGTATATCGCCTCCTTCATCACATGGAATCTCACTCATCATCGAATGATTCCAGCAGACACGAGGAAAGTCATTGATCTTATTTCAACCCAGATACCTCCTACTGAGTTTCTCTTGCTTGTAGGGCATGAAAAAAACACCACCTATCATCAATTTGTCAATCACCTGTTTTTAAGATTTCAGAGAAATGGTGCCAACAACTTGCTCATAGAAGGAGAGACAGAGAGAGAGGGAGAGAGAGAGAGAGTGCAGGATCTGATGTGCATCGCGCCTGAGTGAAACTGGTGTTCACTTCTCAGAAAAGACACCGAAGCGTTTCCATAGAACTGCATTTGTCAGCAGACGCATAAAGAAACATTTGGATAAGGCTAGCATAAGTAATTTGTGCAGTGAATACTAGGAGATAATCAACTGAATCTTTCATGCCTCTAAGAGCAAGTACGTGGATACAATTTTCGTTACGTTCAAAGCGTCACGTCATGTGTAGGGGTCAGCACAGCCAGTGAGGATGAGCAGCCCAAGTATCCAAGTAACTGTAAACATGTCCGTGTCTTATTTTCATCAAAACGCTTAGATTCGTGGATATTTTGCACGTTGTAATGCTGTGCCGTAGTAAACCCATTTACTAAATTCTCAGTTCTTTTCTAACCTTATTAAAACGAAAACAAACATATGCGAAATCCCTTACCGATCCAGACTTATAACGCATAAATTCCAAATGGAACTTGTTGATGCAAGTATGTCCAACGCGTGAAATAAATCACACATCGTTAAGCCTGAAAGAAAACTAAATAGACAACATCTCATTGGCAGCATAGCTGTTCAATTCTAGTATTAAAACCGTCGTATTCATGAAACTTATGACCACTGTTGGCTTGGGCAGGATATCCTTCACCGTAAGCGTATTTCCTATTTCATTAAATAATTTGACTCATAGATATGATGATCCATGATTAACATATAGTGTATGATAGTATCACGATCAATATCGATGGTCTTCTTTTTCTCTGGTGACGTGTACAGAGGTTCTTCCTCTTAGGCAATGGTAATCGCATAGCGCGCGAACTTATGAATAAAGAGGGAAAGCATTGAACATCTAGAACGATTATCTGCTATTTTTAAGGGCAATTTAGGGCATTGGCTAGAGTAGCTTTGTAATATACAAGTAGGTCATTGGTTAGATTCCGCTCTTGCTCAGAAACGCTCCCATCCCTCTAGGATCTCCAAATTGGTGCCAGATTTGTTCGGAAGGATAGCAGCATTACATTGATACATCGCCATGTCACCGTAAAGTCACTGTATAAACCAAATATGTTTCCAGTCACCTCTACGATGCTGTGGATGGAGTCGAATGCATAACGCATCCCTTAGAGATAGATCAACGTCAAACGCGTCATACCTTACCCTTTATATGCAACTTACTATACATTGAAAAATGAAATTTAATGTAAAGCGAAGTGAAATCTGAAGAAAAAACGAGTCCGACTGCCAATAGATCTTTACGACTCAATCTTATTATGCTACAACATTTAGAAGAGTAGTTCAAAACAGCATTGTCTCACCCAAAATCCATTCGTGATTCGCCATTTCAAACAGCGAATTCAACGGCATTACCACTAATCCGACGATTAAATCAGCAATGGCGAGCGAAATAATCAAATACCTAAGATAGTGAATCGTCAAGTGGATACATTGCTACACGTTTTAAAACAAAACTGCATTTTCAAGGCGATTTTTGTTATATAGGAGTGGCGATATACGTACCCAGTCGGGTTGCGTAGATATTTTTTCGTGCAAACCGCAATAACAACAAGGCAATTTCCGGCAACAGTAAGCAGACAGAATGCAGCCAGAACAACCATCAATAGCGGATGTCGCCACCTGATCTGATCTGAACCAAGAACAATTTTGGATGGGGAGACATTTAGAAGGGATCAGAAACATCGTAAAACAGCTGCAATAACTAGTAATGACTTGACAGGTCATTGAGTTTTTTTTTGGCCGAAGGTAGCGATACAGCAAGCGCACATGGTATTTAATATTGATGAAAACGTGCCTCATAAAATGAGGAGAAATGCTAGCATTTACTGTCATCTAGGAAAGTTTAGATTTAAACCTGCTGAACGAAACGAACATTGAAGAGGTGATGTTTCGCTGGCAACAACCACAGTGTTTTTATTTCTTTGGACATATTTTTGCTATTTTCTGGATAATTTCGGAAGTTCTCATAATTTACAAAGATCTCAATGAATCACCAATAAAGGAACTATGCGGAACGATTCTTACCTTTGAAGAATGCTGAATTATTTCGCTGGATAATATCCATAGCTAACGCGTTATGTTACTGTAATAAAACAATTGAGTAGCAGTGAAAGAAGTGGTGATGAAGATTAGAAGGCCATAGCCTAACTGAAGAGAATTACTTCAGTTCACCACTAAATGCTACTATAAACCGATTGAGAGGACGACAATAGAGGTGGAGGCAAAGCAACATGTGTGGATGTATGCACGGATTCGCGTCGAGATACGTAAAATATGAGGATTGGAAAGAAGAGGAGCTGGTAACAAAGATGAAAAATTATGTAAATTTGCGAAATGAAAAGATGTAAGTGGCTTTTCACGGCAAAGAGGATCCATGCTTTTTCTTCTTATCTATCTAACAAGATTTTTAAAAAAATGATCACAACAAATCTGATTGCAGATACGTTGCAATTTTTAGGAATATATGTTTAAGTCTAATAATTAACATAACTGGTAGTATGGCCTCGGTTTATGTGCTTATGCTGCCGATTTTGAAGTGTTATTCGCATTCCAGCATCTTTTCGAGTTTTGAAGCCGTCATTCATAATGGTGGTCGAGTTTGTGTTTGGTTCCAAATGCACATAACAAATTGTGGGAAAATATTTTTCTTATTGACATACTGATAGCTAGTTGATCGCAGTTTTCTCTAGAATCCGGTGATACGCATGCTAAGGTGTTCTCAGATCTTCGTCACAGGCGCTTGGAAGCCTTTGTGGCCCAGAGGAATTTTACAACACTGCGGTCAAGATTCCTCCATATGCGGCAGCGATTCGTACGTTTAACAATTTTGAAACAGGAATAACAAGTTGTTTTGTAGGATGGAAATTCATCAACCATATCACTTGTTGTAAAATAACAGTAAATTGTCTCTCGACCAAATATCTTTACTAAAATGGATTTTACGAAGGCATTCTAATTTTGAACGACTGGATGCTTATGAATGTGCTCTTTTGTACAAAAAGTATTGAGTTTGCGACTAAGATGGCCCTGTTGAACAGTCTGCTAACGTGGACTTTAAGGAAATCAGGCAACTCAAGTGTGAGTTACATCGACGGTTCCAGGGCCGCTTTCTTAAATTCTGATATCAAGTGAAATGTCGGAATTTTCCAGAATATCTAAACATTCGCGGATGGCGTGTGATTTGTAGAATCTTTTTTTGTCCCGATTCTCCTCTTTTGTGACATTTTATCTCAAATGAGAAGACTTCACTCCTCACTTGTGTGGAATTGACAAAGTACGCACGAGTTTAATCAGTATGCGTCGAGATTTTATTATCTATTTGTGATATTTTTCAACAAAAACAGCACGGTTAAAGAGTTTTAAGTGGGAAGTCTGGTCCTTATAGGGTATTCCGAGCTTGCGGAACTCACTAGCAGATATGGCGCATGAGATGAACGAGTGCAGCAGACATTACTGGCGCTGGCTAAAGTCAGTCGAAGATTAACGAGACCAGAGGTGCAGGTGATATAGGCTGGAGCAATGCGGAAGAATGCAATGAAGTTGTACAATGACTCGTAGTAATAGCAATGTTCAAAGAATCAGGTAATGCATTTGCAGCCCGAAAACGAGTGAATTTTCTTAGATGGCTGCCCTTGACATGAATGGATCCTCAAAGTTGAAATATCCATGAATGTTACTATGGTGAGAACGATGAAATATTGGCTGTCATTGCTTTTGATTAGTATATGGTTTTCTAAGATTTTAGTTATTCAGTGATGTTGAGATCTTGAGTACTAAAAAGAAGAAAGATCGTTCGGATTCTGATCAGAGTTATAAGCGTAGGAGGTCGCAACGAAACACCAACAGTTGCTATTCATTTTTTAAACTTAGTCTATTGAAACTCTAAGTCTCCGATTTGTTTACGAAAAATCAAGAACGTAATTTTATACTGAGAAACCGGCTGAAAGTGGTTGAAACACTACATTTATTTATGAAGGCATAAAACACTTAGCCGAAGAAAAATCTAACGATGCGATTTTATCTCGTCGTGGGAATTTTAGCAACAGTTTTAAAAAGTTTTGTTTTCGATTTTATTACCTTAGGGAAAGAAAGAAAATCTTTATGGTACATGCATCGCAGAACTTACTATTAAGTAGTACGGTACTGTGAGCATGACGGCAATGTGTTCAGTAAAGAAAGCCTTTCCGAACAAAATTTTACTGTTGCATGCCCGAATAGATTAGAGATGAATGGCATTAAAAGTGATACAAGTGGAAAATAAGGTGATAAAGTTTCTTATTTACTTAAACTCACTCCATTTCCTCAAGTAGTGAGCCATTGAGGGACGATTCTTCACCAAAACATCACTGTACATCTTGCTCTAAGCTGTGGAGGTACTACAGATATCATTTGGCATGTGGTCATTATGTATACTTATATAGAAATTTGAATTAACAGATAATATACTTTTACTAAGACCTAGAATAAAAAGACTTAACCCTTAATAGTTGGTGAAATTGCCCATAAAGAGCCGATTTATATCTCATAGAACAAAAAAGTTACTTCATTTCGTCAAAGCTGAGTACCTCTTGACGACGGCGTCGAGGAGAACGAAAACGGGAAAGGATATTAAACCTTTCTACTAACGCTCTTTAAATACCATAAATACAAAGACGATTTGCACTTCGACATCTATACTCGTAGCTTACGTTTGAAGATGTAGCCACAACGCAGGTGCGTACAATGAATTTCTAATAAGTACTTAACTTGAAAAATAGTGCCAAAAATTTTTATTTAACGAGGTCATCGAAGGTATTTCGGAACGTGAAGATCTTATAAAGAACACTGTAAGAAATTTATGCTACTTTGTTAAAATGAGCGGACGAACTATCGCCTCATCTCTGTAAAAAATTTCGTTTTCTAAATAGAGAAAGGACTGTGGAAGAAAACCGAAAAAAGGTCGAAGTATAGCTAAATTGTTCGATTTCTTTAAAAATCGATAAAACTTATCATAAGCAACAGACCGGATAAGATAACGACATATTTGAAAGAGCCTAAACTGCAATATAGAGATGAAAACCTAAGTTGCTAAGGAACCCCGTCTCATGGTTGCATTAAGAGTGACTAGAAATCCCGTTAAAAGCTAGCTGAACATCATTCTGAGTAGGTGGAGATGTGGATCTCTTTTCATCAACTCACGGAAATTCTCTGCATTAGGTCATTTAAAATTCGTACTAAGAACAGAAAACGCTTTTGAATTTCATTTGAATAATATTTGTCCTTAATATAAAGCACATATCTTCTACTGGAAAGAACATTTTCTAGTCGGCTACTAGAACTTCTTAAAATTCCTGCATTGCTAGGAAAGAAAGGATTTTTTTCTAACATAGATGAAAACTAGAAGCAGGTGTAGTAAAGTCTGTAACACTTATTCAGCGCTGAAAAGACGTAGGATAAAAATCATAGAAATCCCATAAATAATTGAGGTTATTTCGTTAAATCCATGGTTGTCTAGATGATATAAAAATTTCACTAGCTTTCACAGTAGTCTCATTTCTTGGTAAACTCAAAATTTTGATATTATTCCGTTTTCATTTACTACACAGACCGTTCCTATAACAGAAAGTAAAATGTTTTCCCTGTACTTACCTAAGTAGAGAACTAACAGAAAAGAACAAAGAAAACTGACGAATGAATCTGCGACGTAATTGGGCACCTTTGTGCAAAAGGAGTCAACAAAAGAGGAAAAAGATTTTGCGATCCCAAGAATATTGCTAACATGATTAAAGGAGAAAAGAATGACTAGCATCGCTGAAGCCAGTAAGTTGTTTTGACGTAGATAAATATCAAGTGATGCCGATGTAGTGAACACGATGTTTAATACCACCTTCTTTGATAAACTCCGTAGAGCAACGACTTGTAAAAGGATGTTACTGGATAATAGCGCTACACTTCCGAATAACCAAAGGAGCGGAAATGGTTCTAGATGCGAAGTTACGATGTTAATTCAAATGGCAACACGCTATAAGGTAAAGTAGTAAGTCATAGTCCAAATATATTGGCATGAAGCCGAACAAAAAATAGACCGAATAGGACCTTTTCCTGCAAAATGTATCATTATTACCAAAGTAATTTTAAAGCAATATAATCGCTAGCTGTATCTTATTTAGTGTTACCAGCCACCAATCAGAATTCTCCAATGACTATCTTGAGGAGTCTGCTACACGATGATAGTTTTTGAAGCGTTAAGTATTTCTATTGTTCTTGGTAAAAGAGGCTACCAATAGGTACTCCATAAAGTTTTACAGTAGTAAAGATTTGAGTAGTTTCTTAGCTTATCTGAAAGTAGACGACTTCAAAATCCGCAGGTAGCCTCGAACCGCGAAGCGTCTACTTGCTTGTCATTTGAAATTTCGGCCGAGTCTACATGCATATCCGTTTGTATTCAGGGACATCCATACACTTATGAATGAATTTCTATACATTCATGCATAAGTGAAAAGAAAACCCAGTCTTTAGAGATCAGCAGTGCAATTGGTGAGTCCACTTGCATTTCTTGGCTAGTACGAGGCTGTTTTTGATTCGTGCTTAGCACCCTACCCGCAACCTGTGAGCAGCATGT